GAGAGAGAGAGAGAGAGAGAGAGAGAGAGAGAGAGAGAAACAGGAACTCTGGAGACAAAGATACTGACAGACACAAACACTGAGCTTGGAATTCTTTTCTAGGCCCTGGTTTCCTAGTAAATTGGAAGTCCAGACCCAGCCCTTCAGATTACAACCCACAAACACAGGCCACAGCCCCTCCAACAAGCCTCAACAGCCCCCTTCCAAGACCAGCCAGGAGTAAGCCCAGACAGAGAGAACCCATACTTGCTACCTAGAGACCCGCCCCCTCTGGCATCACCCCCCAACTCCCTCACCCAACAGCCCTCAGGGTCCAGCCCTGCACGGGACTCCCGTGTCCAGATTTCTTCTATTCCTTCCACCCATCTCTGCATCCTCCCATTACCCTTGATTCCAGCCCTCTGTCCCCTCCAACTTTGGTGACTCCTTAGTCACCAGCCCTTTGTTGGTCCCTCGGGTTCTTTGAACCACTGCTCCCACCCCACCCCAGACTTAAGCCATAAATTCCAGAGTTCCTCCACTGGCTGCAGCCTAGGTGTCACTTGCCCACTCACCGAGCCACCTGAGAAGCAGCAGGGGAAATCGGGGTCTGGCCCTCCCACCCACCCCAGCCACCGCCCGGCTCCTCCCGCTCTGCTCAACTTTCCCCATAAACTTTCTCAGCGCCCAGGCTCCTCCCCTCTCCCTCCCTTTGTCTGGCTAGCGCCAGCAGCTGCTTCAGCTTTGATTGCTTCTCTGGGTCTCTCTCTCTGCAACTTTTCCTCCTCAGGGCACCCAGCCCGTCCTTGGAAGACACTGCTTCTCTTTCACACTTAGGAATCAATTATACCTTTTTCTCTCTCCATTTTTCTGCAAAACAAAAACTCATTCAGGAGACAGGAAGGAGCAAGTAACAGACAAGAGTTGAAAGCAGACATTATCAAGGACTTGTGACAAGGTAGCCAGAAGCTGACTTGCAGGGAACCACTCCCCCCTCTGCCCCCTACCCACCTCCCACCTTGAAGGCAGGGGGCAGTGGTGTGGTAAAATGTTGATACCTCGTGTTCAAAAAGAATTATGCCTGTGACGAGGTTCCTATTTGGGCCCCACTCTTTTCCCCATTTTACAGATTAAGGTTCTCAGATCTACAGGGTGGACATCTTGCCCAAACTCAGTATCAGGGGAGAGGTTCCAAGACAGGAGAGAAGCAGGCAGAAAATAAGCCAGTCACAGAGGCTGTGGGGTCTCTGCCAGGAGCCAGGAGCCAGGGCTCAGGGAAGGACACTGAAGTTACAGAAAGTCACACTTGGGGTCCAATAAATTATTTATTTGAAAAATGCAAAATTTGTGAAGAATGTGGATGGCAGAGATCATGAGTTGAGCCTTTTTCCTTTTTTTTTTAATATTTTAGTTTAAGAAATTGATACTGAAAAAACTCAGCAGAACCCAGACCCCATAGATCATGACATCCTATTCACACACCCCAGTCCCCTGCCCTGCACCTGATTAGCACCCAGCTTTGTCCATTTCTGAGACCAGGTGCCCCCACCCCTCCCCACTTCCAACTTCCTTCAAACCCCACCCACCAACTGTCACTCTAAAACTTCTCCCTTTCTCTTCCTTGGGGCTCAGTTGGAGACCACACCTCCTTCCTAAATAAATACCCCACCCCCCCTCCCTAAATACCAAATGAAAAAATAAATATTGTGAACACCTATCCACTTCCAATGGGAATCTCCTGAACTTGGGGCCCCAGCCATTCACCCAAAAAGTCCCTTTTCTAACTTCTTTGCAGCCCCTTCAACTCCTCCCTAGACCCAGGTGAGAGGGGAGGAGGAGAAGGGTCATGAACCCTTCTGATGCCAGGGCACCCCTCCCCAGTTATCGAGGTCCAAGTAGGGCCAGGGCTGAGAGGGAGACAATGAGGATGGGTTGGGTGTGAAAACCAACAGACGTCCCCCCAGTCCTGCTCCTGCCCTGGTTGTGGCGGATGACGACACCTCCGCCTTTGCCCCCAGCACCATCTCTTCGAGGAGGGCGGGGAGGCCGGGCTGGGGGGGCCACAGCTGCTGCCCCAGCCATCCAGTCATCTGCATAGTGCTGTCCCTCTCCAGAGCCGCTGGAGTCTTCATCTGCAGGGAGGGAAAGGATCACAGTGAGAAGATCAGAGACAGACAGGGATAGGTAAGAGGGGCAGTGGAAGACAGGGAGAGAGATAGACAGAAAGGCGGAGGGAAAGAACTAGGATAAAAACAGTAAGAAAAAGAGTGGCAGGAGAAACACAGGTAGATAGTTGGAGGTTGGGAGGAGGGAGAAAGACAGATACAGGAAGGCAGGGAGAGAGAGATCAGGCAGACATGGGAATGAGGGAAGGTGATGGGAGACAGGAAAAGACAATGAGACAGAGACAGAAAAGAGAGTCAGATGGGAAGAGAGGATAGACAGGAAAAGATAGAAAACAGACATACATAGAAGCAGCCAGCAGACAGGAAGAGGGGTGGGCGAGGAGAGACGCAGACAGACAGAGACAGACAATGGAAGGGAGAAAGAAAATGAATGTCCTTGCCTTGCTTCTCTGGCAAACTCTACCTACCACGCGGAGCCAACCCAATGGCACCCCCAACGGGCTCCCCTGCCTTGCAGTGGTTGCTCGTTCTTGCCAACCTCCTACAGCCCTTTGCTCATTGTTCTGTAAGAATAATTTGGAGTCTTCCCCAAGAGACCCTCTCTCTCATTGGTTTTCTACCCCTTACCTGTAAGGTAAGTGTTCAGTGCTAGCTTGTAAAATGAGTGAATGAATGAATGATAACTGAGATGAGAGGGGAGGGACTCAGAAGGCAGTGGGCGGGGCCCGGGTCTAAACACAGGCCTACGGGTGCCCCGGGGTCCTACCCCAGTCCTCCAGTTCCAGGTCGCGTCCCAGAGCGGCGGCCCTCATCCTGATCGTGGCCGCCCGGAGATGCAGCCGTCGCGTCCGCGTCTGGAGGTCGGGATTCGAAGCTTCCACACCCAGCTCTGGGTTGTTAAGCTGCTCGGTCAGAGAGCCCCCGACCACGGGCAACAAGTACCTACGAGCAGAGCAGCCCCCGAAGGCTCCCGCCTGACCTGGTGGGCCCGCCCCCGCCCCGCCCCCAGATTCGGGTCTTGACAGCCCGCAGCCACCGCCGCCCGCCTGCCCGCCAGGCTCTCACCGGCCCCGCCCAGTTCCAGTCCAGCAGGGCGCCGCCTCCTGCGTGATGTCCGCAGCCATGCGGGGGTCCCCGCACACCGTCAGAGGCAGACCGACCCAGAAGCCCCGGACCCGGCCCAGCCGCTCGCGGAGTTCCCACACCTGGGCGAACAGAGAGGGCGGGCGGAGCTGCATCGTGCCCACCCACCAGCCCAACGCCCCCGCGCTGCCTGCCCCCCACTCACCAACCGGGGCAGGCTGTTGCCCGCGGCCATTGTGGGCCGCTCCTCCTCCGCCCCCGCCGTCCAGAGCCGGCCCACCTCTTCCGGAGGAGCCAGGGGTGCCGGGGCTCGGCGGGTGCGGGCAGGTGCCTTTGGGGGCCCACCGCATTCATGAAACACCTGTGGCACAGTGAAGAGGCGTCCCACACGCAGTGAAACCCACACTGTATCCCTGCTCCAACACCTCAATCTCCCCTGACATCCCCCCTTTCCCCAGATACCCTACAGTGTCTCCCTGACACTCCACACTGTACCCCCAACCCCAGGCCCTCGCCTCCACCCTTCTCTCTCCTGTACCATAGCTGACATCCCCATACTGTCTCCCTTGCCCTCGGGGCTGACACTCCCATGCTCCTCAAGGCCCCTGTACCTGGGTGGACACCGCTACACTGTTTTCCTGCAGATATGTCAAACCTTCTGAGATCTTCACCCCAATGGACTGGGCTGCCACCTCAAAGGAAAAGGGGCCCTGGATCTTCTCAGCCAGGTACAGGAGACCATCTTGAAGAAGGGGGAGAAAGGCAAAGGATGAACTGAGGGGACAGCCAGGGAAGTACTCACTGAACTATTAAGTTCCCACAAATCCTGATCTGGGTAGCAAGGTGTTGGATTGGGGAGACTCACATGAGAAGAACTACCCCCCGTACTCCCCTTCAATGTAGCTTGAAACTCCCTCCCAGTCCATCCCCATTCACCCCTACACAGACAGCCTTCCCAGGCTTTCCTGAGTCCTCACCTAGATAGGCACCCCAGTCAGGGTCCAGTCCCTGGCTGCTGAGACAGCCATGGGCCACGTTGAGGCAGAAGCCCCGGCAAGGCGCCAGGGAGGGGACCCCACTACAAAGAGGGCAGCCGGTCAAACGCATCACAGCCCGCTTGCAGCCTTCGGACATGGGCACCTGGGGGAAGAGAGCTGGGCTGTGTCAGCCACAAACATTGAGGCTGCCTTCAGCCAAGCGTGGTGCTGGGCACAGAGAGAAATCAAATACTGCACCCCACCTTCCCAGGCCCTATGTGAAGAGCTGACTGGAATGGCTAGGGTTGGTGACTCCATGTGGCAACAGGTGAGACCCCAAAGGACTGTGAAAGGAAATTCCTAGGGGCCAGGTTGCAGATATGCTTCTTGGGAGGAATGGAACTGGAGGGGCAGTGGTAGTGGTGATGGGGGGTGGCCTCTGAGAAAAGGTTTAACGACAAGAGTGAGTCCATTATGGTTGGGGAGGGAAGAGACAGGATGCAGGATGTAAGGTGGAGAGGTTGGAGAGAGACTGGGCAGTGGAGAGAGGGCCTTGAAGGCCAGGTCAGGAATCTGGCCTTCAGTAGCAGGGTAAGGGAAGCCACTAAAGGGGTCTGGAGGAAATCAGGGGAGCCAGTATTCCCATCTCAGGATGCTAAGGAGATGGGCAGGCCCTCAGAGGCTGGCAGAGTATGAGTCATCAACTGGCAGGACAGGTGGGAGGTGGTCACGAATCATGATACAGGGAAGACTTCACTTTGGCCCCCCCGCCCCATGATTCATTCTGGATGCCATGGCCTCAAGGCTGAAATGGGAAGGCCCCAGGTCTCTCCTGCCAGCTGGCTCTTAACTCTTCCTCAAGGGGCCTCTCCTACTCTGCCTCTCCCTCCCTGAGCCCCACCTACGCTCAGGCCCCCTCTAACCTTAAGCGCTTCACTGACCACATCTCTTCCGGTCTCCAGGCCATGGATAAAGGCCCGGGCAGCCACCATGGCCCGGGTTATCTGGGAGAGAGGAAAGAAGGTGAGAAAAACCACAGGGTTGTCATGTATCAGTCAAGACTGGGGTCAAGAGATTGTACCAAGGAGATGAGCAGGGGGGACTAAGTTTGTGGAGTTACCTTGGGGTGGTTAGGAGTGTCAAGTGGTACAGGGAGGCAGGTTCAAGAGGCTCAAAGGATTATAGTTTATAAGGATGAAGGGGAACTGGGCTTGGGAAGAGGTGGAGGGATTGAGTTTTACAGGGCTTAGAGACAGACTGTGTGCATCAGAACACTGAACTTGAAGCCTGAAGACGTGGATGTGAAACACAGCTCTACCACTTATTTTGCATTGAGACCTTAACTTCTGGGAGGCTCACTTTTCTTACCTGTAAAACAGGGATACTACAGTCTATCTCGCGGAGTTACTATCACAATTAAGTGAGATACTATAAAATGAAAATCCTTCTCAAATATTAGTACCTAATTCACATTTAGTTGAACCAGAGGAAGTCAAGATATTAGGATGAGGGAGGAGTTGGTAGAAAGGTGGCTGGGGGCCAAGAGCAGGTGAGTGGGTCAGGGATGTGAAACGAGGGCACAGGATGACTGTGGGGGGTACCTCCAATTAAAGGAGACCAAGGAGCATTAGACCAGGCAGAGGTGGCTGGGGCTCAAGATAGGGGTCACCAGGTCAGAGATGGCTGCTATGCAGGATGTGAAAATCACCAGGTCAGGGGTGACTAGGGCATGAAGGGGTGGTCATTGGGTTGGAGGTGAGTGCACAGTTCAGAGGTTATTAGGTCAGAGGTGGCTGAAATTCAGGCCTTAGGACCCCTCACCTGCAGGCGGAGGCGGCGGGGTGAGTCCCCGAAAGGCTTCAGAGAGTCATCAGCAGAGGAGGCGAGGCGTGTGAGGCAGAACAGGTAGTCAGGGGAGAAGATGTACTGTGGGTGCAGCAGGGGGAACATTCTCTCCAGGAGCTGTGCCCAGAAATCCACCAAGGCATCATCTAACCCCTCACCGGACTTCTCATAGTAGTCCCGCAGCCGAGAGAACAGGCCGCTGAATAAGGGGGTGTTCTGGGAATACAGACGGCCATAGGAACGGTGGAAGAGCAGGGCCAGGGAGTGCTCAGCTGATGAGAGCATCTCCCGAAAAACCTCTGTGGAAAATGTGAAGAAAGGGATGGGAGGTGAGGTGAGACCAGAGAAAGATGGAAACATGGAAGGGCAGAGGCAGGAAGAGATGAGGGTGGGGAGAGAAGAGAAAAGACAAGTGAGTTAGAAACAGAACTCTCAGTGACCTGGGCAGACTGGGAATGGGGTGGGGCAGGACCCTGGAGAAAGCCTGGGGTGGCGGGGCTAAGCCAGTGATGGCGTGCCTTAGGAATGGAATAGGAAATGGGACAGTATGCTTGCTGGGGTCATGAGCACAGAGAGGAGGTATGTGGCCAGGTTTGGGGACCCCAAGTCCTCACCATCAAATTTTCTGTGCCGGGCAGCCAGCGTGTGTACCAGGAAGGAGCCACTCTCCTCCACCAGGCCTCGGAAGGTAGCCTCAGTGTCCCAGGTCAGCCTCTCCTCTATCTCACTGGAACAGCAGGTGTATTCTTGGGGACAGATCCGGAGGTGCTCACCTGGAGAGAGGAGACACAAGGAATGGTAGGAAATGATAGGGAATGGTGGGAATTGATGTTATAAAATACCTTCCTCTTCCTGCCTATTTTTGGGGGCCATCCCTTCTCTTTCACCTGTCTGGTTTCTTTCCTATTGTCTGCACCCTCATCCCCACCTGACCATATCCCCACGTTATTGTTCCCTCACCCATCCCAAGTCCACTGTCATTAACCATGGGATCAACAGTGATGGGCCAAATTAGTGATCAGAGAGGTTCCTCAGGGGACCTTCCCTAACATCACATACCCCAGGCTTCTAAAGACTTACAGGATGGCTTCTATGGGAAGAATGGGGTTTGGAGGGGTGGAGTTACTTGGTAAGCAAGAAAGTATTATAGTAGCACTCTTAGAAATAGAGAGGGGAACAAATTGAGCTGTGAAGAAACACAGAGGTGGATGCTAATTACTAGAAAAGGATTCCTGGGGTGGGGGTGAAGTAAGAGTACCATTATGTGAACAGAAGGGTTATTGTGATCCTGGTAAGGAAGTTCAGGAGGAGAAATGTTATTTATTACTATAAGATGAAAAGATTATTATAACGGTCACTCTTAAGGGGAAGAGTTATTGTGAGATGGGGAAGACCCGCCCCCGCCCCCTCCCTTGCCCCCAATTCTCTAGTCTTTCTCTTTCTCCTCACCTGATATCAGGGCGGGAGGGAGTAGGCTTAAGCTATATCCCCGGGCCCCCAGAATCTGCCGGGTCTCAGTGCAACTCCGGATGACCTTTGCCTCGCTCCCGGGTCCAGGACCAGGACCGGGACACAGAGGCAGCAGCAGAAGCAGAAGAGTTCGCAGCGCGAACATAGCTGCTGCGACCCTGGAACAGCAAAGTGAGTCCTATGGAGGAAAGAAAAGCTGCCCGAACTCGGAAAGCTGGTTCTCTGCTGCGGGACCGCCCCGCCGGCCACAGAAAGAGCACGACCTCGGAAAACTGAACACCCACCACGATAGCTAGAACCGGCAGCATCTGCCGAGACAATGGGAGCGAGGAGCCGGGCAGGGGGCGGAGCCCGGGGCGGGGCCCTACCAATGATGGTTAGGAGCCGGCCTCAGGGGCGGGGTCAAGGGAGAAATTAAGCCAATGTAGTGGGGAAGCTCGGCAGAGGGGCGGGATTCGGATGGACTAAGGAGGTTGGTGGGGGAGGGGCGTGGTCTTTCTCATGGGCGTGGCGACTCGTTTCTAAAGGCGCGGCCTGGGGCGAATCCAGCCTATGGCAGTTGAGAAGCCAGATTGAAGGCGCTACTGTTGTAGTCCTGTGAGAAGACCCGTCAAAGGGCGGGGTGGGGGGGAAAGAGGGCGGAATATTCGGGTAGAGGGGCGGGGATTGGGTGGAGCAGAGTTGAAGCTGGTGGCCAGCGTGCCCAAACCCACGTGATGGAACTGCACGCGGGAGAGCTGGTGGCCGCACGAGGCTGCCGGAGCGGCATGACTGGAACGTGGTGAGCACGAGTTCGCACACGTCCAAGCATCGCGAGAATTACTAGCTCTGGGATTAGACGTTGGGCTCGCGCCTGCGCGCAACATGCCTCGTGCCTTCCCGCGTTTTTCTGGATTCTTCCGCCACCGGAAGGGAAGCGGCAGGCGCAAGTGCTGCAGGTGGGGTGAATACAGAGACCCGAGGGACCATAGGCGGTGACTTTTCCTCAGCTCTACTTACCCAGAAGTCGCTGTTCCAGGCTCAGACAGTGAGGCTCTTCTTTAACCCGAGAATACGGCCGCCCCACCCCCACCCCCATCTCCGCAGTGCCGTCTCTGAGATAGGGACCTTCCTCCTCCGTGAGTCAGTAGTTTCCTCCACCTCCAGTCCCCAAGAGACTGGTAGTCACTCTTGTGAGCTGTTAGAAGGCTCCGCCGCCCAAAGAAACTTACCCTGGGGAGGGTCAGAAGTATCCCCATCTGGAAAAATAGAGAACACGAGCTTTCCTTTACTCCTTCAGCGTTTCTGGCCCTATTCTAATGGCGCCTCCACCCCCAAATCGTTAAAAAGTGTCCCATTCCATTCCATACGGAATCAGGTAGTAGTACGAACTTTACAGAAATGAAAGTCTGGGTGCTTTTTAATTTATTTTTTGCTTGTAACGTGAGCTGGTTCACTTACAGCAGGCAATTTAGCTTCCGAATCGGGAGGGGACTAGCTTTAAGCTGCTCTGGTGTTGTGCCTTATTCCGTGCTTGGAGAGCAACTCCAAACCCGTGCTCTGCTTCTGGGGTGGTGGTTTCTTTAATCTCCCGATGGCTTAGGCCAAGATTCTGTCTTATTTTTTTGTGTGCCCTCCCACCCCCAGGCCAGTCTGAGTTCCAGGGCAGTTCCCTTGAAAAGATGGGGTAGAAGGGGCTGGGGAGGGAGAAAGTGGTGGGGTAGGAGCCCCTTCCTCTCTTTCTTTCCCAGGCTGGACCACCATGCCTACCCTTCGGCCCTCCTCCTCCTGTCTCCATAGCTCCGCCTCCCCAAGCAGTGTGTCCTCCCCACTGCAAGGAGCAATGGGAGGTGGACAGAGGGGCTTGTCTTCGTCTTCTAGCTTGTCTGTCAGTGTGCCCTGTGATGGCAGGGACTTGGACCAGACTTCAGAGGGGTGAGTAGAGTTGGTGAGAAATTGTTACTTGTGCGGCTTTCTGCTGCATCATCGGCAGCTTTCCCCTCTGCCATTTTACTGTCTCAATAGTAATATGCGTGTGACTGTATGAAAATGTGAACGATGCTCAGCCGATTCACAACAGTGACCCCCTTCCAGCTTTGCTGGCTGGTTTTGGCTGCCCTACGTGTTGTAGGCATCAGGAATAATACATCTTGTTCTAAATCCATCGTCCAACTTGTCTGAACCCTTCTTTAACACATTTGTATATTCAGCATGTGCAACTTCTGGTGGGGGCGGGGAGGTAGGGGAAGGGGAAGTGAGTTCTTTTTTGTTGCCTGACAAATAGTATATACTTTATAGGTGGTGTCCTGTAGTTTCTCTATTTGGGAATTTAATATACAGGTCCGTCTGTCCTTATTTGTTATCATTTATGACCTTTTTCTGTGAAGGTTATAATAATATACCTTGGATTTTCTAACCTTTCCAGGAAAAAAATTAATCTCATACAAGAGCTGATTTATCCCCTAGTTATTTTAATTGACTTCCTCTGAATCATTTCTGTTTCTGTCAGTGCTAGTGTTGGGGACCAGATTGTATCTATATTATTAACTCTAAATCAATTAGATATGTGAATTAGTTTAAGGGGTGGAATTTAACTTTAGGTCGTATTAATCTCCTGTTTATGTATGAGTAACATACGACTTCCCAAACCATGCTTTCTCCACACAGCAGTGATCCCTCTCTGCCTACTTAAGTGAATATCATTTGATTTTCTTATTCAGAGAGACTCTTAAGAAAGGGTTATCCTTCACCTACCTCAGTTCCTCATTCTTCATCTTCATTGCTTTATTCAAGTGGAAGTTTTCTTTTAAGACTTTGTCCCTACTTTCTGGTAACAGTAAACTCATCTTTTCTTAAAGAAAACATGAATATATTTTTCTCATGGAGAGGGGGTACAGCTAGAGACAAAGAGAAATTATAATTACCCCTTTCTTTGGAGGAACTGGGGTGTTGTATCTAAGGAGAACCATACTCCCTCATAGGGATAGTGATTCTTTGTCAGCTGATGAAGGCAGTGACTTTGAAGACATCTTGAGACCCAATATGAAGAAGAGAGCAGCAAAACGACCACTCAAAACAACCCCAGTGAGTCAGTTGCTTTTGTTTTGTTTTGGAACCTGGTCTGGGAAGTGGCAAAAGAAAACCTAGAAGGGACTCAGGAGATATGTTTGATGAAAGGATAAGACTTAAAGAGTGTTAAGAGACAGAGTGAGGAAGAAGGCAAATTTTGAAGAGAAAATAATAAAAAAGATGGTATTAGGATTCACAGGAACAAGAATAGGGCTAAAGGTCTTTTATAAGAAGAAAAATAATAAAGTTCACGATATAAAAATCAGTTATTTTAAATGTATGACTCAAAATCTCCTGTATTATTGGCAGCTTAAGAGGATGAGACCAAGTGTTAACATCACTTTTACTTTTTAAAAAGATTTCTGATTTCTTTATACTTACTAGGTGGCAAAACATCCAAAGAAGGGGTCCGGAATGGTATGTGGTCATAGCCAGAAAGAGTCAGAGCCACTAGCCAGTGATCTCTTTAATGCTGTGAAAGCTGCCAAAAGTGACATGCAGGTAAAAGAGTGTCTCACCTGTTTCTTAATACCATCTCACCCCTTGTGGGGTGGATAGATAAGGACAAGTGTCTACAAACTTGATTTAATGTGGACATTTTAATGAACATAACCTATATCAGGAAAGACAGATAAGACCCTGGAGTGAATTCTTGGAATTATATAAGGGAGACCTTTGATGAGAGAGAATGTTTCTTTCCCAAAAGTATCAAATAGCGAGATTGATTTTGCTTTTATTGATTGATAAAGGAAGCGTGGCGAGGCATTGGATGTGGGTAGCAGCTTGTTCACCCTTGTCACTTTTTAGCTCCACTTTAACAATTATACCTAATTCCTTTTCCCTCCCCACATTTGTTTTTTTATAACTTATTGTAATTTTATTATCATCTGAAAGTGTATAAGGCTTGTATTTAGTTTACAAAAATTTTAAATGATCACCCAGATCTCTAGCTCTAGCTCAAGGAATGAAACATTAATAGTGCTTTAGAGGCCTTTGTATATCGTCTCTCTACCCTACCCTACAGTCCCCTCACCACCCAGAGATAACCACTACAGTGAATTTTCTGTTAATAATTCCCTTGTCTTTTCATTATAGTTTTATACCAATTAATGTGTTCTTTAAATAAATGCATCATTCTCTAGTCCTCTGTGACTTAATTATTTCAATTGTTTAAGATGCACCCATATTGATATGTGATGTAGATTTTTATAGTTTTTAGAAAAGTTTAAAATTTTTAAACATATGGAGTTTTTATATATTTTTGTTGTTTTATATTTTTGTTACTGATTTCTAACTGCATTGCATTGTAGTCAGAAAATGCGGTCTTTTGAAAGTTAGGGAGACTAACTTTATGATTTAGCATTTAGTCCTTTTCCAGAACTATTTTACATGTGTATGAAGAGGATGTGTGTTCTCCATTTGTTGGGTCCGGTGTTCTCTTGGGTGAGATCAAAAGTGTTAAATGTGATACTGCTTTGATATTTCTACTAGTTTGGGGTTTCGGGGCGGCGGGGAGGGGCAGTTGGTCTGTTTGATATATCAGTTAGAGAGAGAGGCGTGTTAAAAGGGTGACTTTTTCAATTACTTCTTTTGCATTTATACCCATCTTTGCCTTAAATATTTCAAGGCTTTGTTTCCTGGTAAAGCAAACCTTTTATTGTTATATACTGACACTTCTTTATTTCTATACTTTTTAAGACAAAAATTGTTTTGTTTTATATTAACATAGCTATACTAGCTTTATTTTTGGTTAGTATTTACCTAGTATCTTTTTCTTTCCTTTTACTTTCAATCTTTTTATGTATGTTTGGAGTCTGTCTTCTGCATACAGCATATTATCTGGATTGTGTTATTTAATCCATTCTGCTGATCTCTCTTTTAACAAGATAATTTAATTCATTTGTATTTGTTGTTCCTACGGATATGTTTGAATTCATTTTTTCCACTCTGTGCTTTCACTTTATCTTGCTTTTTCTGTTTCTTTTTCCCCTTTTCTTGCTTGCTTTTGGATTTCTATCTTCTACAAGGACCTAAGCACATTTTAATTCCAGTTTCCCCTTCCAATTTACATGCTGTTGTACAGTGTTTTAGTTCTATTTTTCTTCTCCCAGCAAATAAGACATTTCTATTTTATACAATGTTTGTTGATACTTACCTACATTTTTATCATTTTCTTTGTTCATTCCTTCTCAAATCTCAAATCTTCTGTATGGAATGATTCTCTTGCTGTCCAAAGTTTATCCTTTAAAATTTCCTTTA